TCTGGATTCTTAAACTGCATCAACCACTTAAGGGCGGCATGGTCGGTTCGGATTAAAAACTTCCTTCCATAGAGGTATTGATAGAAGTGCTCTACTGATTTCACTACTGCCAGAAGTTCTCTTCTCGTGACGCAATAATTCCGCTCAGGTTTTGAGAGAACTTTACTGAAATATCCAAGGACTCTTTCCTGTCCTCCCTGAATCTGGGACAGCACTCCTCCAATTCCCACATTACTTGCATCTGTATCTAAGATGAACTCTCCTTCTGGCAGTGGATACCCTAAAATCGGTGCTGTGATTAAATGCTTTTTTAAGGTCTCAAAGGCATTTTGGCAGTCTACATCCCAGCGGTATTCTCTTGCTTCCTCTGTAAGTCGCGTTAATGGTTTAGCGATATCTGCAAACTTCTTAATAAACCTCCGGTAATAAGTACATAGTCCAAGAAAACTTCTCACTTGATGTTTGTCAGTTGGTTTTGGCCATTCCTTAATGGAATCGATTTTTCCCTTATCCACGGCCACTCCTTCTTTACTGACTATATGACCCAGATAATTGACTTTACCTTGAAATAGCTGGCACTTCTTGGGGTTTAACATCAATTGGGCAGCTTTAAGTCGATTAAAAACGTTTTCTAAATTCTTCAGATGGTCCTCAAATGTCTCCCCCAAGACGATTATGTCGTCTAGATAAACTAGGCATGTTTTCCAAGATAACCCTCTCAACACATTTTCCATAAGCCTCTCAAATGTCGCAGGAGCGTTACAAAGTCCAAATGGCATAACGTTGAATTGCCATAATCCAGATCCTGTGGTGAAGGCTGTCTTTTCTTTATCTACCGGGTCCATTTCTACCTGCCAGTATCCAGACTTCAAATCCAAAGTAGAAAATAATTTACTTCCAGCCAATGTGTCTAATGTGTCATCAATCCGAGGCAGAGGATAACTATCTTTCTTGGTAACGTTGTTCAGCAAACGGTAATCCACACAGAACCTCGTTGGTCCGTCTTTCTTCTTAACCAGGACTACCGGAGAGACCCATGGGCTCGTAGAAGGTTCTATCACCCCGTCTTTCTTCATTTCCTGAACAATCGTTTCAGCTTCCTCTCTTTTCGCCTGTGGTAATCGTCGAGCTGTTTGACGAATTGGCTTAGCATTACCAGTATCAATTCTATGCTTAACAACGGTAGTTCTTCCCGTCTTTCCTCCTTTCGGTACGAAAATATCACGATACTGCCGAAGAAATTCCCTTAATTTCCTTTTCTCAATCTGATTCAGAGACTGTCCAGCAACTGCAACCATTTGATCAAATTTGTCGTTGGAATTATCAGACGTTGTCGTCTGACGGATTATGGATGTCACAGGTACACAAGTTCATACTTTTGTCTCTTTCTTGATGGTCACTGGGTAGTCATTGACATTGATAAGTCTAACAGGAATTTCTTTAGCCGAGGTCACCAATTCCTTTCCAATTATGATTCCACGGCCAACTTCGTCGTCATGGTTCCAAGGCTCCATCATAACAGGTGACCCTTCGTCCACAATTCCCTGTAGCCGCGCTACTATGATTGTTTCACTTCTCGCAGGCACGACTGTATCTTCTTTAACGGCTGCTTGCATAGTGTTGTCATCATGTGGATGGAGAAATACCTCCTCGTTACCAACTTTGATTACCTTATTCTTAAAATCCAATTGGAATCCATGTGTATTCATTACGTCCATTCCTAATATAACATCCTCTTCGATGTCAGCAACTATAACAGTATGGACGAACTTTTCTGCTCCAATTCCTAATTGTACCTGGATTTTTCCATGAATGTTAGCATTTTCACCTGTAGCGGTCCGCAGTCGCAACCTCGTTGGTAACAGTTTCTTTCGGCTTTTTATAACTGTCGGGCGTATAATGGTTCTGGTCGCTCCAGTATCCACCAACAACGTATGCTTTTTACCATTTATTTCTCCATCTACATATACACTATCTTCACGACATTTCAGAGAAGCTATTAGTATCAGAGGGTCTTTGGTAAAGTTCTGGGTCGAAGCTGCTCCCCTAAGGCCGACGCGTTCTGGTTTTGTCTTCGGTCTTATGGTCTTCGTTTTCTTGTTTGTCATGCTTTTCATCATATTAACGAGCTGGTCAAGTTTATCTTCATCTTCTTCCTCTTTTACAGTCCTAACTTTACTGTAACCGCCAGAGGCCTGCGTAGCTGACTCGTATTCGAGGGCGGCGGATAAGACATCAACCAGCGTCTTGTGACGAGCTAATCGACCATCAATAAACGTTTGAACGGCCAACTTTTCCATCATGTCTTCGGGAGCTGTTGGATAAGCATATCGCACTAATCTGGCAATATCTACTTCATATTCTTGAAGAACCTCATCTTTCTTTTGTCTTCGATTTTTGAGCTGCGACTGATATACATGCTCTAAGTGTTCGTGGCCATATCGCATATTTAACCTCTTCTTCAGTTGTTCGAAATCATCCGTCTCCTCTACGGCTATGGTCTGGAGCACATCTAAGGCATCTCCTCGAAGAGCTATAGTCAGGTTTACAGCCTTTTCTTTTTCTGACCATCCATTCGCTCTTGCAGCTGATTCGAACTGTTTCATGTAGTTGTTCCATGATGATTTTCCGTCGAAAGTTGGAACTTTAACATGAACAGAAACTCCACATCCTTCAAATTTCGGCCGCGTTTCCAACTTACATTTCGTCTCGTCTTCTTTTATCTCTACCGGATCTAAAGCTACCGTATTAATTGGTGGTAGCACTCTCGTGTTAGTTATCATGGTCTCTAACTGTTTGATTTTCTCTTCAACTTTATCAAATGTTTTAGAGACTTCTTCAAACTTCTCACTATTCTGAATACATATTTCTTTAATTATTTGAGAAGTCTCGTCAACTCTTCTAGCAACATTTTCAAATTTCTCGTCATTTTGTCTAGCTACTTCTTTAATAATTTGAGACGTTTCATTGAATCTTTCATCATTTTTTTTAGAACTCTCTTCGATCTTCATTAAAACTGCTTCTTCTGCTGATTGAAAATGGAATGTCTCTGGGTCATCTCCATTCTTGTTAAGAACATTTTTTAGTCGTTCTTGGAGGATCTTCTTGGATCCGCTGCAGTCTTCATCGCGTTCTTCTAGTTGCTCACGCAACTGTTTTACTGACAGTTCTACTAGCAGCATCTTTGGTCAGGCACACACGTACTTTTTAAATGTTCTTTCGTACAACGATCACTACTGAACTACGCGGATGTTCCCGACGAACAATACCTTTCAAAAGTTCAAAAGTCTTTTTCAAAAATCAAATTAAATTTATCTACAATCCCACTTCTGCACCACTGTGACGTTTATATAGTTCTAATTTATTTGTCTTTATTCTAATTTATTGTCTATATTCTAATTTATTAAAACTCACGATAACTAATTACGAATTTATTAAAGTCTTTATTAATTCTAATTTATATTACAAATAATAATTTATGTTTCGTTACATTTAAATATCGCGGTTGCCGAGCTTCTTATGACTGACTCAAATACAAAAATCTTTCATTTATATACACAACTGTTGTCATCTGGAACTTTCGGCGAACTTCCTGAATGATCTCGTATTTTGGTGAAGGCGCTCGACTCGTTTTTCAACCTCGAGACGTGGATGACTCACTAAAATTAGTGTCTAGAGATTTCTGTAAACAACTGGTAGCGAAGCTCAGGTATATTTTGACCTACAAATTACGAGAATCAATAAAAAAGAATTAGTCATAAAATATTTACAGTTCTATATGCCATAACATTTAAAATCGTAACAATACCTTATGAAATAAAAGAAATACGTTCGTTTTACAACTTATATATTTGATAACTACAAATTAACTGACACTTAAAAATTTAGTTCAATTAACAAAGTTAGAAAAGATATTAAAAAAAAACAAAATTGAGTATCTGCCGAATATCGCAATGGAAATACTGTGTAGAAATAAAAATAACGATGTTGCAGTAGTTAATAAGAATATATTACCCGTGTGATATAAGCTATTGGAACAGCAGTGTCTTTCAAACGAATAGACGAAAGTGAAGTTATATCAATATATTTTCCTAAAAAATGTTTTGAACATAAAATACTATATTTATTTGGTTTCTGTTGGAAACCTAAAAATACAAATTATATGCATCACTAAGTATTAATAAAAAATTTATATTTTAAATAAAAAATATGATTATTGAACTAAAATATAGTATAAACGACTTAAAAATTGTTTATTAGTATCTCTATATTCTGTGTATTCATTACTTATATTTTATTGGAAGTGGATGTTTTATTTGCTATTTTGGGAATTTTTAAAAATATTCAATAATGACTGAAAAATTAATCGAGAAACTTTTCTAAGTTCCTGTAATATTTTTTATGAATACTATTAATTTATTCTCTGGAAGTACGGGCCATTACTTTATTTACAGATTTGTATACTAACCTGTTTAACGTTATTGCTGAAGATTTTTTTAGTAACATTGCTTCTGTTACTGCAACTACGTTGAGAACAAGAAACCATTATTATGCATTATCACAATATAATATTATAGTTTCTATAAAACATTATAAAACTAAAAATATTCTAAAAACAACAAACGTAAACAACCATACACGATCTCTCAAAACGATCATAACAATATGGCCAAAGTGAGGTCGTTTTTAGTCACGTGATGTCCTCTCCATAGATTCTAACTCGATGCTGGCAACTGATCACAAAATGTAGTTTAATTACTAATATTAAAATATCAGTTTTTAAAAGAATTCACTCAAACTTAAATCAGTTGTGAAACTTTTATAATTAACTTTATAATAATTTTAAAACAAAACTGTATGTATTTGATATGCCATAGAAGCTATACCAGTGTTCATACAATAAAAATTAGTATTCACTGAGAATATTAAAAAAAACACTATTGCTTGAAGCTTACCCAAAAGAAATATTCTTAAATGTTATTTTATGTTTTATATCACAGTTGAACAAAATGCTGATATTGCAATTCAAGAGTTACTAGCCTTAAATAATGAACCACTTAGTCAATTGTTGGAACAAGAAAAACTCGAGGAAGAGAAATTGCTTTCCGCTATTAACCGTTACAATGAAGCTTTAAGGAAAGATGATATTTTAGCAGCTATGCAAGATATTTTGGCACAGGAAACGGCAAAATTTAAGGAGTTTCACGAAAGCAGGCTTGAAACGTCGAAGAGTATATTAGAACAGTAAGTTTTTTTAATATTCAAAATTTTATTATGTTACTTTACTAGTTTTATCGGTATATACATACATTGTTTGTTATTTCCTGACCGTAAATGAATTAAGTAAACATAATTTAATGCAATTTAACAGTTAAAGCTTTTGTTTTCAACACTTCAACAAAATTTATTATAATTTATTATCACTACAGGTGTTTCGGCAGAGTGCCTTTTTCAAGTGAGCTATTTTTGTTATGCGTCTACACTTTATATTCTTAACTGAATAAGTTGAGGAGGGGAGAGCTATTTGGCTCAAGTTGGTCATTCAGAATTATATCTGTGTTTTTTAATTTGGAAATTTCCATAGATTCTAACAAAGATAGCTTAAAGCCTTTATTTGGAATGTGAAGAATTTGAAATAAGTTATTAAAAGAATGATTATGATCTAAAAGGTGAAGTGCGTACGCAGAATCTGTTTGTCTTCAACGACTGTATACCAATTATCAGTTACACAAATGCTACCAGACCCTACAATACCTCGCGACAATTTTAGCACTACACCGGTAGATGCTGCTAAACTACATTAATTTTACAAATTCCCAACTGTCAACAAACACACGTGAAAGCCAAACAGGGTCGTATTGAGGTGTATCATATGATTATTAAAAATATTTACTTTTGAAACTATTAGTGTAAGAATTTCTTGAAATTTAATCATTGTGAGCAAAATTTAATGTTCCATTGAAGGAAAATATGCTAAAATAAAATATTCATTATTAACTGAGAGATACATAACAAAGTGAATATTTTGAATAAAGTAGCATTGTTATAAGTTTAAACCAAGCATAAAAACGTACCATTTAAATTACTCAAGAGTCTGAGGAGCTACATGTGCTGCTGTCTTCGTCTGGATTTATTATTATGGGTTCTGTATGGTTCTCTATTATAGTCCATAAGTCCAACTTCCACATTTTGGACTCGACTTTTTGTTAAACGTGTTGCACATATTTCTGCCACGTAGTTGGGCTAATATTATTTATTGCATCTTATCTGTGTTGCAAATATTTTTCATATCTGCAAATTTAAAAGTAGTGTTTTTGGCTGCTACGTAATTTTTTATTTCTGTTCTGATGGGATCAATCGGATTGAGCTCGCAATGGTATGAGAGCAGCCTTAACACTACTTTGTTTAGGCTTTTTGCCATCTCATCAATGATTTATTATATTGTCTCTTATGTTCCTTAACCATAGCCAGCAGTTGCACTTTTAACATGGAGTTCTCAAACCCTATATTCTTTTATTTTAGCCACGTTTGGATGTCAGCTTTTCTGTCAATTTTCGAAAGATGTTAATCTCTTTATGGTAGTCCCCACTTTTTTTATTCAAACACCCACAGCCCTTCTGGAACAAACTCATCTTCACTGCCAATGTGACAAATTATTAGTCTTTTTCCTTTTTCTGAAAATTTTATTATTTTAAAATTTACTTGAAGTGAAAAAGCACATAAACATTTAGCTGCAGGATAATTTAACTATGTATATGCCAAATTTCATGTCAATCCAAGCGGTTCTTTAATATTTACAGCAAAAACCGTGCATAAATGAACTAAAAAGGAAATGAAACTTTTCAAAACATCAATAAATTAAAATATTGGTTTCTCTTACCTGTATTAAAGTGATTACTGCAAGCTATGTTTACTTTTGATTAACAAATACTTTGTTTTTGGATACTAAAAGTTCACTACATACTATAAAACTTAATACTAAACACTTAAATTAAACTCTAAAAAATAACACGACCAGTAAATAACTTAACAATAACTATAACATATAACACACAATAAATTAATTTAAAAACCCACACGCTAAAATGCAATTTAAATTTAAACAGACTGACAAGTTTTGACCTGTAAAATGAAAATCCGTCTGACTTAAGGCAATAAATTATATTTAATAGCCTCTTGACGAATGAGGGGGCGAATATCAACACGTGCGTTTGTTTACAGTTGGGAATTTGCTGAACGAATGTACCATAATTCACCTTGTTTCTCTTTGTCTGCATATACACTTAGGTTCCAAGTATAGCCATTTTGAGTACGTAATTTAAATATTCTAATGCTATATTTATGGCACTTTTGTGGATTATATATACTGCTTGAAAAATAAACTTCCCTGAATCAGTACCATGGTTTCATCGATGTAAAATGTTTTCCTAGATGTAAATATTTTTATTAGTTGCTTATGATTTTATCTATAAGTTGTTGCACTTTACAGATAAGAAACTTAGTTGCATATAGATTTGTTTGATCTGTCATAACATCCAGGATGTTAATGTACAAAAGGTAAATAATAATCTATTGGCTGAAGACCTTGTAGTGCAGCTTGCCACTCCCGATTTATACCATTTCTGAAAGTTTGGTCAAATCCTAAATGATTTCCAACAGGATCACCCAAAACTGAAACAGGCAAATCACGCAAGTCAATTATCCTCAATATCAGGTCTTTCTTCTTCTGATGCCAGGGTACGATTTTCAAAATCTGGAATTGCAACATCTTGTGGCTCATAATTTGGTTCTTGTGCTGATTCATCTTCTATTCACTTATTTTCAAGTCTTTGATGTTTACTGCCCATGCACTTAGAGCCACACAAGATCGAGAGGAGTATTCCAGAATTGTCGCCAACATCCACTAATTGGATAGGGCACCATAAGAAGAAGATGTTTACTTGCACCATGATATGATATGCTGGACATATCAAAATCGAGCTCATCGATGCCGCATTTACCACTGTCACTACTGCTGGGTGGAATAAATTCTGCGTCATCAACAGAATTGTAAGAAAATGGATTATTTGGATAATCACCTAAAAGTATATATTTTGCATCATCTATCAAATGTAACGTTATCGACAATGCCAAATATCATTCACGGCAAACCAAACAGTTTCCTACAAAAGCGTGGAAGAAAGGGAATATTAGACAGTAGTTAATTAATAAAAATATATCCTTTGGAGATGACCTTCTAATTAGTTAGAGCCTTTGCAAATCGTTAGGCAACACATACCTTCACACGCATCAAGAATGCATTTCGTAGACGAAATGGCCAAAAAAATTAACACTACAGTACTCAAATTGCTTCCTTATGACTGTGAATTAAATCCTATAGAGTTGATTTGGGCCCAAGTAAAAGAGGAGGTGGCAAGAAATAACACCACTTACAAACTTGCAGACGTTAAAGAACTTTTTAACCAGGCTTTACACAATGGCACTGCCTTAAACTAGAGCAAATGCATTCAACATGTGATAAAAGAAGAAGAAAAAATGTGGGACTTGGATAACACATTAGACATCTTGGTGGAACCATTAATTATTAACGTGACTGCTGAAGACACCTCCACGGATGAAGAATAAGTCAACGCAGATTATGCATAAAGTGATACTTTTTTATATAATTAATCTTTTAGCTATTTAGTATTATTTAAATTTTTATTATAGCGATATGTATTATTTCCATTACTTTTAATAAACATTTTTAAAATTATTACAATTTTATACAAAATAAAATTACATTGACAAAGTGTTTAATCTTGAAAAAGTTTCGCAACTGATTGTTGCGAAACTACACTCACCGGCAAAATTAACGGAACACCTTAAAATTGGGACATGTTAGATGTCTCGAATTTCCTAAACCTGTTGTCCGATTTTAGTGATTTTTTTAGTATGTTATAGGTATATTATTTAAGAATATCAATGAAATAATATTTATTGCTAGACAGGTCAACGTCATTTTATACCGGGTGTAACAATCATACTGTGTTTTTTCCTTAAAGTTCGAAACACCCTGTGGAATATTCTAGCATATATAAAATATTGAAATTAAAGCTCAATTATAGTCTCAGGCTTTCTTAACATTTTCTTTTTTGATTCATTTACTTATGTTTGATAATAAAAAAGTTAGGTACGTTAACAACTAGCCATGTTTTTCATCAATAAATGCTCATTTTCTTCTTAGTTTCACCAGCATATTTAAAGGAACAACCATAAAATCTGAGTATTTTCTCTCTAGTCTATATACTGTTTAGATAATATCATAATACGAATGTTGGTGAAGTATTTTGAATTTATATTACAATGGTAGTACAATATAAAACCTGTTTAAGAAGAAATAAAACACAAAGATGTCAGACTCAACAAAATACGGATTTTAAATGCATTAACTTTATTGTACAGTTTGAACTTAAATTGTTTTTTTATGCATTTTTTGGCTTTAATAGCGCGTGTTTCCCCTACGAGCCCTTACAACTGCAGTTATTCGTCTTCTCATACTTCTGATAACGCTATCGATCAGTTGTTGGGCAGCCTCTCCCATTCCTCAATCTTTTGCAATTGTGACTTCTTCTCTGTTTTGAATAACAGGAACCCGTGCCCTAAGTTTTCTGCCTAGCATGTCCCACCTATTCTCTATCGGGTTTAGGTCTGGGGAACAAGCTGGCCAATTCATCGTTGTTATACCCACTTGTAATAAGAAATATCTTACACTTACACTCTTACACTATAAAATAAAATTTTCGCCAATATATGGTGAAAAAGGTACCACATGGTCTTGGAGAATATCTCTGATATACTTATCTGCTGTTAATACTCCACCATCAATCACCACTAACTCTGTTATTGCTCCCAAACATATACCGCCCCACACCATAATTGAACCTCCACCAAAAGGTACGGTCGTAGTAAAATTGAAAGGGGCATTTCGTTCTCCTTGGCGTTAATACAATCTTTCTCTACCGTCGATGTAATTTACACAAAAACGGCTCTCGTCCGTAAAGAGACTTTGACTCCAGTGATTATCATTCCAAGTTTGATGTACTCGACCAAATTGTAGTCGTGCTAAACGATGGTGTCTCTGGAGTCTGGGAGCTTTTATTGGTACATATGACTTGAGACCGGCTTCTTTAAGTCTCTTTCTTATTGTGCGCTCAATTAAATACAAGTTTGTACTTGTTATGAACAGACAGAATGACTGTAAAATGTAAAACACAATACAAATAAACAAATTAATTTGACATTTAAGACTTTCTTGTGACAAGGAGCTTTCAAAGCTATGTAGATTAGTCTATAATATACAAATATAAAGAAATATTGCATTAATAACAGGTTCCTTTAAATTTGCCGGTGTGTGCATTAAATTGTTAACTTCTCATAGCCTACTTTAGGCTTGTTTTTAAACTAAGCAGAAAATGAGGATTTATTGATGAAAAACATGGCTAATTGTTAACGTACCTAACTTTTTTATTATCAAACATAAGCAAATGAATCAAAAAAGAAAATGTTAAGAAAGCCTGAGGCTATAATTAAGTTTTAATTTCAATATTTTATATATGCTAGAATATTCCACAGGGTGTTCCGAACTTTAAGGAAAAAACACAGTAGGATTGTTACACCCGGTATAAAATGACATTGACCTGTCTAGCAACAATATTATTACATCGATATTCTTAAATAATATACCTATAACATACTAAAAAATCACTAAAATCGGACAACAGGTTTAGGAAATTCGAGACATCTAACATGTCCCAATTTTAAGCTGTTCCGTTAATTTTGCCGGTGAGTGTATATAAAATAATTATTTTTTTGCCTAAAAAAACTGACATTTGTATTGCTCAAATAGTAAATTACATTCTTATATTAATCATATACGTAATATATAAAATTTGCTAAAAGAAGTGATACTTCTTCATATGTAACATTTACAAATGCTGTGAAACCCATTTGCATATTTGTAAATAAAACATTATAAGCTCGTTAAATATTGTCTAGGAGACTCTTTAAAACCCTTCTTACTATGAAGTCTATTAAATACTGGTTTTCAAAAAGAAATTGCACATTCCTTTACTGCGCAGACATCTGAAATGAAGTATATTAACAAAAAAAATATTCAAATGGTAGGGCTTAGATTTGAATGCGGAATAAATGTTAAAATTTTGTTAAATTTTGCTTTGGTTCAGGGGAACATTTTGGTGAAAAATCCTTGGCGCGTAACCTGTTTAGCTATAATTATTAGACTCTATGGAAATTAACAAATAAAAAAATACATACATATATACATACATTATATACACATAATTCGGAATGACCAACTTGAGACAAACAGTTCTTTCCTCCTCAACTTATTCAATTAAAGTCTATAAAGTGTAGACAAAAATAGCTCACTTCTTGAGAAAAGTACTCTGTCGAAACAGCTGTAGCGATATTTCAGTGTTTTACTGTTAGATAAAATGAACTTAAACCAAGTAACGGTCGAATTCATCATTTATTACTTAATATAATTCATATTATGTATGTCTGCATTGTTTGCTAGTATTGCGGTGGAATGAAAAGTGATATTTTACCTTAAAACCACATGGTTGACACTTGAAATACAACTGGTTCAGGGTCGTATTTAAATTATCTTCCAATGATGCATTTTGAACAACTTAATTTATTAAGCTGTGATTATTGCTTATATATTGGAGAGATCTCCAATATTCTAAATGGATCAGTCATATTATTGATACAATTTTGAGATTTTTTGGTATCTTTTAAAAAAGTAATTGCCCACTAGAATTGTTCCTATCTCTTATATATCCAAAGTTAAAAAAAATTAATAAAATGTATTCATTAGATAACCGAAGTAGATTATGCTGTTTTCTTCATTAGCGATATTAAATATTTTTCCTAAAATCGATTCTGGAATATTTCCGATTAAGACTTTTTTCTTCCTGTTAATAGTTTTTCTTATATTTACTTTACCCAACATTTTAACTTTTTATAGACTATATTTTTATGTTTATCCATTGGAATCTCATCCAATAGCAAAATTTTGTGAAATATTTGAAAGAATGCCATCTGTAGTGAAACACTTGTGATACAATAGTTATTACAATTATTGAGTACGATATTCGACATTCAGTACTAATGGAAGTATATTCAGATTGTGTGATTTGTGATATAACTTATACATCAAAAGAATTAGTTTTATTGAATGAACAATAAGGGTATCACGTATCATTTTAACAGAATTATCTCGTTTTTATAGATAAAGATAGGCATTCCAAGTTATGTTACATAGTATTATGTGCACTTCTTATATATTATATTTAGTATTTTATTCATTTCAGAGAAACAGAGATAGATTCAAAATTAATAGAAGTTCTACAAAATCAAGATGATCATAAAGTAGAGCTTATCAATAAATTAATTATTGATAATGACTTACAAAAGGCAGCTGTAGGAACTTTACTCGAACGAGGAGATGCGAGAAGTTGGGGTTTGTTGCAACAGATTAGGTTGGTCGAGGCTCAATTAGCCGCTCTAACAAGAATAGAAATCGATAGAAAGAAGCTAGAAATGGATGAGCACCTGGTAAGCGTGTACAAGAATAAATAAATTGATTAATAATATCAACAAAAATAAATAAATTTTTAAAATTCATTATTTGGTCCACGTACAATTGTTGTCCTAATTCAAAACACCTTTTTACTTGCCTCATATTTTCATTTATTAATTTCAGAATGACTTGTGTGTAAAGAGATGCAATTTGTCAATGTTACTAATCGATTTGTTGGAACAACAGAAAGAAAGACGAGCGCAATTAATTTCTACACTTCAAGTGATGGAGGAAAGCCACAGCGAGAGTATTGAGGACTTTTGGCTCAGACAATATCAAAGACTTTTGGATAAGTAAGTATTAAGTACTAAGAATATTTAAAAATCCTTAGATGCAGCAAATTTAATATTTTATATTTCAAAAATTCCCTATATGGTCATAGAAAAGGTTTAGTGCACAATTAGATAAGGAATTGTTTCATTTGCCAGCGATTCGTGTTACAAACTTTGATAGTCATAATAAATACGGATCATTTCATACCAATTGTAACGAGCCATCAAAAAATTGTAATTGAGACAGACCATGGAATAAGAACACTCTCTTACACAAGAAATTAAAGAATATATACATAACCTAAGTTGTGTACACAATCGTTTTAAGGCTATTTTCATTGATATATTTTGTGACATTTTAATATTATTTTCTGTATTTAACTGAAATGAATCACATTTTCAGTTGAAAATACGTTTATTTTGACGTTTTGATTTCCATTTGGGAAATTTTTGTTAACGTACACAGAAAACAAATCATTTTGTTTTACTTGGTAATACAAAAAAATCCGAAAATTTATTTTATACATTTTAAAGTAGATGACTTCAAAATGATATTGTCAATATATTTGAAGAGCGTTCTTGGGACGACTTTATAGGAGGATAGTTCATTTAATTACATGAATCATTATCTTTAACTTGAGAATACCCTTCAGAAAAAGATCTTCTTCCTTTTTGTATGTAGGCTTTAAAGCCTGTTTCTTCTTCAATATTAGCCTCCTAAATTGTTTAAATTATCGCACCATCTTTTCTTGGTCTGCCCATACTTCTTCGTTCATTTGGTGACTTATCTCGTGTTATTCGTACTATTCTATCCTCTGCCATTCTACTAATGTGTTCGCTCCCCTGTTTCCGTTGTGTCACCCATCCATTTATGTCTTCTATATTGCATGCTCTTCTTATGTATTGCTTGTTTTTGTGTCTTGCCTTAGATGTTTGTGTTTCCAGATTGTGTTATTAAGAGATCCCACCGCTTTACTTGCTTTTAAGCTTTGTTGTACTTCTTACTGTCGTATTTAGATGTTGTCATACATTTGATTTTTTCTGCTGATATTATCGTATTGTATTTCTTGGCTGTTGTATTGAAGATGTCTGTTAATTTTTGGAGTTCGTCTTCTGTCTCGGCGATTAATGCGGCGTCGTCTGCATAACATAATATTTGGATTTCTTTGTTCTCCATTTAGTAACCATGACCTTTACGTACTGCTGGTATTATTTCGTCCATTATTATATTAAAGAGAAGTGGGCTTAACGAGTCACCCTGTCTGACTCCGCTTTGTACTGGTATACGCTGTGTTAGTTTTCAATTTATCTTTGCCTGTATTCGATTATGGAAGTAGATATTTTCGATGGTTTGTATAATATTAATTGGTATGTTTCTTTTATACAGTAGGTGTAAGAGGTCTTCGACTTCGATGCGATCGAAAGCCTTTGTCAGGTCTATAAAACATAGATATGCTGGTTTATTGTACTCGATAGCCTTTTCTGTGATTTGTCTTAGTACAAATACGCCGTCTACGCGGGATCTTCCGGATCTAAATCTTTGTTGTTCATCTGGTAAAGTTGTTAGTTTATTGATTTTGTTGGATATACAAATGTGGAGATGGTATATCTAAATTACTAAGAGGTGTGGAGAGTGTAAATAACGCCAACTATAGATCAATTGAACCTGAGCAAGCTAGTTCTGTAAATTATTGAAGAATAAAATAGTAATCTTGATCAACGTATGAAATTAATAAATTCTTAATAGACATACTCAGTGCAGAAGTCTAAACAGCCGTGCTGGGTCCCCTACGAGGTGAAGCTGTAATAAAGTTTTTAAAAATAGGTTTAAATTTCGTACAATTTAAATTAATTTGAGTATTAGGACAGTGAGAGTTTCCATTTGTTTCCTTTGTAATCTCCAAATCTTCCAATAAATCCAACTCCAGATAGTTTCTTTTTAGTAATGTCATGTAAAATAGATGAACCAGTATTGATGTTAAAATTGTGTTTACCTAAACTTGAAGTGTTTGGTCTTTTCAAAAATGTTCTGAAACTCTAGTGGATAACTTTCTAATGGTTCTACCTACATAAGAGGCATCACATTCATCACATTTTAATTTAAAAATACCACTTTTGTCAAGTGTATTCATCCTATCTTTAGTGTTGATTAAAAAGGAACCTAAAGTGTTGTTTAACTTGAAGGAAATTTTGATGTTTTCAATTGTAGAAGTAAAAGGTTTAGATATTTTATTGGAAATGTTGCTAATATAAGTAAACGAGAAATATCTAATATTATTTGAGGCATTAGATTGAAGAAAACATTGTGATGAATATGCAAGCTTTTCTGCAATTTTGAGTTTAGCTCTATTTAGAAGCTTATAAATAATGTTTGGATCATAACCATTATTGAAAGCAATTTGCTTAAGAGTATTAAGTTATAAATTAAAGTTATCATTAGAACGTTTCATGTATAACATGATCTGTTTGGGTAGGATTTTCTATAAATATTGTACTCTAGAGAATCTTTATTACGAGATATAGTTATATCCAAGAAGTTCAACTTATTGTCAGATTCTGGTTCCAGAGTGAAAGAGATGTTAGGATGGAGGTTATTAAGATCATTTAGATTCTGTAAAGCACACCAGTTTTGTCATAGATTCTACGAGATTCTGACAGTTCCCAGATAACCTTTCATCTTGAAACCAAACCGGAATGACCGCTTCTATCATGTTTATTTTCGTAGTACAGTCGATTTTGCGCAGTCTAGCGTAAATGGTCCATCAATTTCCAATGTGGTTGAGGTCTGGCGAATTACTGGGTCAATCTAAAACAATTATCTGCTTATTTTTAAAAAATTCCATCTGCTTTGACTTGTGACAGGGAGCAGAGTCCGGTTAAAGTATCGCTCCTACTTGGGACTGACATTTTTGGAGTTCTGTGTCCAAACGCTGTTCCAACATAGATTTGTATTTTTGTCTGTTTATCATGCCTCCGATAGGTGCCAAAGATCCAACCCCAGGTATGAAAAACATCCCCATAACATATTTTTGACTGGATGTATTACGGTTTGATCAATATGAGATGGTGTAATGTTTTCATTGTCAGAGTTCCTCGGCCGCTGCCAGTGAAATATAAAGTGAGTTTCATCTATAAATAGGACTTTTCTCCAGTCGTCTACAGTCCAATTAGAGTATTTTTTTACACACAATAGCCTTTGTTTCTTCATTCGTTCAGTTAAAAGCTGTTTTTTCTGTGAACGCATTGCCTTTCTACAAAAGTCTTTTCCGAACAATTGAGTCATGAACCACTACACCTGATGCAGCTAGATCTTGTTGGAGCTCTTGGTATGTTTTTCTTGGGTTCAATTTGCTGTTTCGAAGTATCCCGTGATTGATCCCGTTTCTAGATTACGCTTCAAAATCTTACTACCCCCTGACTCACTCCACACGTTCTTGCGATATATGTTTGTGACATAGAAGTGTGTTCACTTAACGTGATAATCTTTTCACGCCTCCTAGGCGTAATAATTATGATGGAATTAAACGAAACAAACTCACTAATTATGGAAAACGCAAAATAGTACAAAACAACAAAAACTTGTGGGAAATATCCTAAAACACCCTCAAATAAAATCAGAGGGAAGTAACGTTATGTTTTCAAGGCTTGGTCAGTTGTAAATGTTTGGACAGTGTTGCCAACTGTGAATAAAGAAAAATGTCACAATGATTCCATTAATATCTGTCCAGGCCAACTTCGTGTCTTTTTAGATAATGTGTGCTATGAATGTTAATTGTCAATTGGGGCATGCTGTTTTAATTTATTTTATTATATTTTATTCTATTTTATTTTATTTTCTTCATAGCTTAATATGTATATAAATATATTCTAACAATACAATTGACGGTACTTCTATTTATTTACTCTATTTATATATCTAACGAAGGTAAACGACGTGCCAGATTGTTCACATCAGGTTAATGATTGTTTAAATATTGCAAATAGTGCAAATTATATCTGCAACACGCAAGAAACTTATCTAAAGGCATGCGCAGTATGTCGTCATCTGATTATATCCTTCAAATTCTTGTAATGGCGCGATAGTCGGATTGGTGCCATTTTCTCTGCAAGTTTTCATGTAAGTACTGCTGTTTTAACAGCTATAAGTAATTTAAAAAAATAAAAGTTCTGGCATTGAAAGCCGAGTTGCAAGCTATAAAATCGCACATAAAGATCTTGCAATAGACTTGCATGAAAGTTAGTCATGCAAGAAATTGCAGCATGATTTCTTGCGAGCTGTAAAGCGGTTTTTATTTTAGGACAATTTTACGTTTTATTTCTTTATTTTATTTATGGTCTATCTCATTTACGATTTTTTTCGATGACTGTAGAATATTCTGTTGCTGCGTACCATTTACGTTAACACTAAATTTCTTACATGAAAATATACAATCATTAATGACTATGATTTGAGAACATATATTTTTTTATTGTTGTTTTAAGGTTACCTGAAGGATTATCTCACGCACAGAAAAACATTGATCCATCTTTAGCACAAGCTTTATTACTAAATGGAGTAATTCACTGCCTTCCGTTTTTAGCTAAACTTACCCAAAGCCAATGTAAGTAATTATTAAATAATTTTGTAACTATTATTTTAATAGATTTTATGCTGTTTTACTGATATATTTTCATTTAATACAGATGACACAACTTTATACAACGTAACCTATAAGAAAATATCAGAAGAAAATCATGCATAAAACTGGCACAAATTTTTAAATGAAGAGATTGTCAACTATAATAAATTTAAAAACGTTATACATAGATACCATCATTTCTATTTTTTGATTTCACAATATCGTTACGAATGATTAAGGAGATCGTCATTATCATTAGCCTTTTTGAGTCCACTGCTGAACATAGGCCATCCGTAAATAATTACATTGCTTCCGATCTCGAGCACCTTAAATCCAGTTGCGCCATAACATTTTCTTGGTCCATCTTTGACTCTGGCTCTTAAGGAGATCATCATTCAATATTCATTTGTCCTCTGCTGGACATAGATCTCCCTCATAATTTTCCATGTGTGTCGATCTTGTGCCTCTTGCATTCAATTCCTTTTAAATCGTTACTCTAATGTGTTGGTGGACGACCACTGCTTCAGTAGGCATCATCTCTTGCTCTCTATTCTAGTATACGCTTTGTCCATCAATGTGTGTCATTTAAGCCACGTGACCTGTCCAGCTCCACTTCAGTGTTCCTATTCTGTCTGCAGCGTCTTCTGATCTTCGTCGTATCTGGAGGTTTGGGATCATGTCTCGCAGTGAAACGCCCAACAAAGCACGCTCCATCGCCTTTTGAGTCACACGTATATTTTTCACTGTTCTCCTTGTCATAGTCAACGTTTCCGCTCCGTAAGTCAATACTGGCAAAGCACACTGATTAAATGTTTTTTCTTTAAGACATGTTGGTATGTTGGACGATTTTAAAATATGGTTTATCTTGCCAAAGGCTGCCCAAGTCAGTCTTACATCAACGGCTGGTTATCTTTTCCTATTCGAATTTCGTGAACTAAGTAATTATAGGCTACTACCTGGTCTATGGATCTTGTTCCTATGCATATATCCTCGCTGACTACAAGATTTGCCATTATATCTGGATTTTAAATGTATTTATTTTCAATCCTCCTTCTAACGAGGAGAGGTATTGCTGATTTAAATGTTCTTTGATCTCATCTATCCTATCAGCTGTTAGCACAATATCGTCTGCAAACCTCAAGTGACTAAGATTTTGTCCATTTATGTTTATTCCCTTGGCCGTCAGTTTTACCCTTTTACCTATATATTGAAAAATCGTAATGCACAGGTTCGGTGATATGATGTCCCCCTGAAGTGCTCCATGTTGTATGAGGAATTTCTGAGTTTGACGATCACCCACTCGTAACACTAGCTGTTGTGTTTTTGTATATGTGTTTAATTATATTTATATACCGAGAGTCAATTCGTCATTATGTCAAGACTTCCAAAATTTTTTGTTGATGTCAAAGACATTTTCGTAATCCACAAATATTAAAGCTAGTGGTTTAATACATTCAGTACAGATTTTTTATTGCCAATGATGTGTCTTCCTCTTCTTCTTTGACCAGTGGGTCTATCAAGGAACGTTTTTCTAGCTGGGTCATTTTGTTCCATCCGCATTAGATGCCCTATCCACCTCAAACGTCCTATCTTAATATGTTTTACGATATCAGTTTCCTGGTATATTCTATTAAGTTCGAAGTTGTACCGTCTTCTCCACACGCCATTATCATTCACTGCTACACAGATTTGCCTTAGTACTTTCACAGAGCCGTAGGCATCTTTGCAGGCTATAAATATGTGATGAGTATTGATGCCATATTCCAGTGTTTTTTCCAAAATTTGTTTCAGGGTTGCAATCTGATGAATTGTCGATTTACCACCTCTGAAATCAGCCCTATATTTTTCTACTATCCGTTCTGCATACGGTACCATACGGTGACATAGTACCCTGGAAAATATTTTCTACGCTGCATTTAGAAGCGTAATTCCTCTGTGGTTAGAGCATTCAAAGATATCTCCTTTTTTGTGTATGGTACAAAGTATTCCAATATTCCAATCATTGGGGAGGGATTTCTGTGTCCATATTTCTTTTATAAGCTGCTGTAATGCCATTATGGTATCATGGCCTCCTTCTTTATATAGTTCAGCTGAGAGATTAGCTAATCCCGGTGATTTGTTTCTGACTAGTTTTTGAACTGCATCTTTAACTTCAAGAATCGTTGGTGGTTATTCTTCCCTCTTGTCTGTTCCCCTTACCTTATCTCTTTCGTTTATAAGCTGCTGTAATGCCATTATGGTATCATGCCCTCCTTCTTTATATAGTTCAGCTGGGAGATTATCTAATTCCGGTGGTTTGTTTCTGGCTAGTTTTTTAACTGCATCTTTAACTTCAAGAATCGTTGGTGGTTTATCTCTTGTCAGTTCCACTTACCTCATCTTTTTCGTCTTCCAAGGTTTCTTCTTTCTCTATATTAAGTGCGTATTTAAAGTATTTCACCTATCTATTCAATACATCTTTCCTTGTTAATAGGTCGCCATTCTGACTTCTACATTGTCTTGTGGTTGACTTAAATTCTTTCTGTTGATGTTAACTTTCTTATAGAATGCTCGAAATTCTTTCTCTTTGTTGAGGTTTTCTATATATTTAATTTCCTTCTCTTCTCTTTGTCTGGCAATTTTCTACAGTTGTTCTAGTTCGTCGGATAAGTATCTTTCTCTAGGCCTAATTTTTTTCTTTTCTTGCATTCTTGCATCCATCGTCAAACGAATGATTTTTACGGGCACAAAGTTCTGTTCCTATTTCATCTTTCGCTGCTGCTTCAATTTCTTCCTTTATTCTGGTCCAGTAGGAGTCTATATCTGTCTGGCCTTCTTCATTTACATTTTGATTCCTTAGTCTGTTGGTGATGTTTTCCGAGTACCGTTCTGCAATTGTCGCATCTCTCAGCTTTTGCACATTCCATTTTTTTCTATCCATTTTATTTTCTTTACTGGTGTTTGAATCACTAGGCAATGATCTGAGTCTATGTTCAATGGGCTGATAAAATTCCAATTTAGTTTCTAATCGTTTCGTAATTATTTTTGTAAATAGTTTATAAATATGGGAAAGTAGGCTTATGAGCTTGTAATTTCGGAGGTCAGTAGCATCGCTAACAAACTAAGCAGATCATCACGTCCAAGTTTAGTCAACTTAACCAATATTATGAGAATTGTTCAAATAAAAACAAATTTTTTCTTCTATATATTACATTTCTAGACCAAACACGTTTTCATGTCTGTCATTTCATTTCGATCGTGATAATTTAACTGTGTTTATTTTATGTTTTTTGATTTTTCTAGAAATTTATTTTATTTTAGGTGATACGCGATTTATATCAGAAGACGATTTGTTAACAGCTGGAGTAACATGTAGTGACGAACGAAGAAAAATCTTGGATGCCTTTGAAATGTATGAAAGACAGAAGAAAATACTTGGCTGTGATGATACATGCGCTTCTGCCCCACCACAACCTGTTGAAGAAGCTAGTGCTCCAATTCCAGAAAATATTAAAGCAATTAGCAGTTCGGAATGTGTGATATGTTTGGATTTAGAGGTAAGTGGTTGCTTGTGAACATGTTTCAAAAAAGAAATTGATAAATTAAAGTAAATAATGCATACTTACATACTGAGAGCTGAAGCTGCCAAGGTAATTCGCGTCGTAAACCCAAGAGGCAAATCTCAGTACAATGTTGTTCTTGGCGATGTTAACATCCGTTTTAAAACCCTGGATATTGTCTGATAACCTTATACCTCGTAGAAGAGTTGCCAGTTTTTGTAAAATATTTTTTGGTTTATATTTAAATTATCAATCCGAATACAATTTTATCCTATAGGCTAATGTGTTGACTTTAGAACTCATTACTTGCTCATGTTTGACGTGATAAGACCGTCTCCCTCGACGAGTCCTCTTCAACCATTTTGTAGGTCTGTTGGCCAATTTCTCTTGAGTCTTCTGGTATGGTGCTGTAGTAGTGGGTGAATTAGCAAATTTGTGTGGGTTTCTAAATTATTACAGTGTTTTGTACTTTGTCTTTGAATGACGTCTTTAACATAATCCATTTTAGGCCTTCGTGTAGTGTTTGACTGGAGACATACCATGGTTGCTTCTGTTACCTTGCGGAGTATTTTGGATTGACTTCTTTGTGTAATAGAGACGTATGACTTGCGCATCCCTATAGTTCCGCCCCACATGTGCAAATGGGTTTTAGGATTGTTTTATAAATAAGAACTTTCTTTTTAATGATACTTTGGACTTTCTATCGATTATTCCGTAAATATCTTTTCCTTTTAAATCAATTTCTTTGAGTTTTTTGGTTTGGACTGGAGAAAAGTGGAAGCTCTCACCGGATTTGCGTTTCTTGCAAGGATAAGAGTGTCATAGGCATATGTACCTATTGTGGTTTCTCTAATAACAGAGAGGTCTGTTGTGAATAGTACATATAGAAGTTTGCCAATAATACTTCTTTGTGGTACACTGGATTTGATGAGAAAATTGTCTGATGTATGTTCATTGAATTTTGTTCTAAACTTGAATAATAATCCTGTGTGCCACACCTTGTGACTGACATCTAGAAATACGTTGGTGGAAAACTGTTTGTCTTCTAATTCTTGTTGAGTTGGTCTAATTATTTCTCTCCAAAGCCAAACTAGTGAGTATCCATTATTGAGTATCAGGATTAGAATTTATTCTTTGTAGCAGTAGTCTTTGCAAGTATTTTGGAGATAACAGATAGCAAACTTATTGGTCAATATGATGTAATATTATTTGGATTTTTGCCAGGTTTCAGAATGAGTATTATTTCTGCTAGTTTCAGCATTTTAGCTTTAGTTGAGCATTATTAATTTATTTCTTCTCTTGGCAATTCCTTTGGTATTTTTGAAGTTACTTTGTCCACATCTGGTGCTTTTCGAAGATTTAAGTACCTTATTTTTTTGCACTTCTTTCACTGATAACGTTTTATGAAATAATTATGGGAATGTTTTTTATGAAATAATTAGAAATATTTATGGGAATTTGGGATGCTTCCCTTGCTACACACATTGTTAGGCATGGATATTGTATCAAGATGTTCTGCAAATAGTCAAACTTTTTCTTCATTGCTTCTGGTCCATTGCGAATTGTGATCGATGTCGTTGCGGATTGAAGGTTCTTGAATTTTAGGCTTCCCTGAGTGTCTGATAGGTTTCTAAATAAAGTTGTCATATCGGTTGAGAATAGTGAGGTAATCCATAAATGATATTTCTCAAATAGGTTTTAGTTAGTTATTCTGTTTAATTTAGTCTTATCTGCGGGGGGATGTGTTCGATGCCATATCTCTCTGGCTTTTCTTTTTTCTGCAGGTACTTTCTTTATCAACTTTAATAACTTTGTTAATCAATGCTGGTATGTTATAAGTCTTGTTTTTTATATTTAATACTGGTTAGCGTGCTTAGCTTTTTTAGAGTGTTATTCATTCTTGCTATCTCTGCATCTATTTTATTTGAGGTTTTGAGACTTACTTTTTTTACTATTTTTATAATAAAAATTTTAACTTGATTTTTATATTTTGGAAGCCCATTGGCAGTCCATTCTATTGTTAAAATTGTTGAACTTTTGCTGATAAAAGTTTTTAGAACTTTTAATAACATACTGTTCTAAGTTTTATAAATGGTCTTCTTGTCATTTTTATAAGAGTTTTAATTTATTTATCAGGATATAGTGTGTCGTCTTCTAATCATCCTAAGTATTTAAAATTGTTAACTTTTGCAATGGGCTCGCTATTGACTATTAGGCATAGGGCTAACGTCTTATTTCTTCTTCTTCAACCTTAAGTAATCCAATTTTGTACACAGGCCTCCCCCAAATCAATCTAGTGTCTTCTATTTTGCGCCACTTGCTTACAGTTGTGTCCTCCGATCTTCTTAATATCATCCGCCCATCTCATTTGTGGTCTTCCTTTACTTCTCTCTCCTAACCATAGTCTCCAGTGTTCTATTTTGTGATTCCATCCCTTATCCTTCAGTCGGAGGATACGTCTTATTCACTAACAACAAATAGCTTTGTCTTTATATATATATATATATATATATATATATATATATATATATAGCGAGTGTTTGCAACTTTAATTTTGTCGCTTCTCGCATCCCATGGCCCAGTCTCCTTCTTGAAGACCTCTATTTTCCATTTCTATATGAATATTGGATATCCATTTCTTTCTTGGCCTTCCCCTTTTATTTCTCTGTGTAGGTCTCCAGTTCCAAACCTTTCGTGGTATCCTTTCTTCGTTCATCCGTCTCAGGTGTCTATACCATTTTAATTGTTTTTCAGCTATCGTATTCATTATTGTGTTCTTTCACTCTCTTTCATTCTCTCTCTTATGTTTTCATTTCTTATGTGGTCAAACAAAGTTAACCCGGAACATCTTCTCCAGTACATCATTTCCGTTGAGAGGAGTTTTTGTGACATATTCTTGTTAAAGACCCACACTTCTGACCCATACGTCAGCACCGGCTGAATCATAGCCTGATATATATTTTTCTTTGTTTTCTTAGTTAAAGTTTTATTCCACAGGATCGGATGTAGTGTTTTTATCATGTTTTTTCCTTTTCCTATTTTTCTTGTTATATCTTTGTCGTCTTTCCCGTCTTCGCTTAGTGTTACTCCGAGATATTCGTACTGATCAACGTTTTTAATTAATCCGCTTTCTGTTTCCATGTCTTGACCGATGCCTCCTATATTCATGTATTGTGTCTTTTCGGTATTAACCTCTAATCCCCATTTTTTGAATTCGTCTATTAGTTTGTTTATCATGTACGTCATATCTTGTAGGTCCTCGGCAAGAACTACCTGGTCGTCTGCGAAGAGGATTGTGTATATAGGAGTGCCATTTACCCATATGCCCATTGGGCTGCATTTTCTCATCCAATATTTTAAAGCATTACCAAGATATATTTTAAATAGGGTTGGGAGAGGCAAGAGCCCTGTTTGACACCCTTTGTTTGGGTGAAACCCTTGGAAATTTGGTTTCCAACCTTAATATAAGCTTGGTTATCTTGATATAGCTTTTTCACGGCATTTATATATACTGCATTTATACCTGCGTTTTTCAATGTTGTCCATAGTCTCTGCAGTGGTACGGAGTCAAACGCTTTACGGAGATCTATAAAAGTGGCATGAAGTTCTAGTCCTCTTGCTAATCTCTTTTCTATTAGATGTTTGACAGTAAATACATTGTCGACACAAGATCTCCCTGGTCGGAATCCACTTTGTTCTTCGATCTCTGTGGCTTCTTTTTCTATTCTGGCTTTCAGAACTCTTTCATACAGTTTGCCAGTGGATGACGTAATGCTGATACCTCGGTAATTACTGCAGTCATTCCTGTTTCCCTTTTTGTAGATGGAGTTTATGTACGAGACTTTCCAATCTCTTGGGATACTTTGTCCTTGTAGGCACTTGTTAAACATTTTACAAAGCAATTCTAATGTTATTGCAGTGGCATGTTTGAATAACTCGATAGGTAAATCACCCGGCCAGGAGCTTTATTATTTTTCATTTTTTGTAATGCGTTTTTTATTTCTTCTACGGTAATCATCGCCACTTCATTTAACCCCGTTTCAAATCTATCTATATGTGTGTCTAGAAACTGTGTACGTTGTTCATTTAATAGATTTTCGTAATAATTTTTCCATCTTTCTATGTCTATGGGGTTTATTTTTTTTGTTTCGTTTGTATTTTTTCTAAGACTGTTGATAGTTTTCCAAGCTTGTCTGGACCTAGATCCTCCTACCATTGAGCTTATTTCTGCACACTTGTTGTCCCAGGTTATGTTTTTTGTTTTTTTAATTTTCTTTTTTACTATATATTTGTATCTGTTATAGTTCTTTCGGTCTTCCTCATCTTTTGTCGCTAACCATTTGAGATACAGTTTTTTCTTTTCTTCACCAGTTCTAATAAACCTTCTGTCCACCAATAATTTCTACGTTTTACTTTTTCTTTCGTACCTAGAGCTTCTAATGCTGCTTCATGAATTTTGATTTTCAAAGTCTCATACATTTCTTCCGCTGTTCCGTTTATTTCTTCGTCTAATTTTTGTGCCAAACGTAGTTTATAAAGAAAACTTGTGGACTGATTTTTTAAGCTGTCTATGTTATAGAGCCGTATGGATTCTTTGTTTGTCTGTTCTTGGGATTTATTTTGTTTAATATATCTTATTTCCACGGGTGCCTTTACTAGTAGGTGATCCGATCCACATTCTGCCCCTCTCCAAACTTTTACATCGTAGGGTCTTAAAGATGTCTCTTGTTTAACTACTATATAGTCTATAATTGACTGCAGTTTTCTTGTCTTTTGAGTCCATGTATATTTATTTATGTCTCTATGTTTGTAAAATCCATTCAGTATTTTTAACGAATGTTGTTCGCATACCTCCAACCATCTTGTTCCGTTCTCATTTACTACATCTTCTCCGTGTTGTCCAATTATTTTGTTGTCAAGAGCTTTACCTACTCTTCCGTTCAGGTCCCCTAGCAGGACTATTTCTTGTCTTTTTTTATTTTATTTAACTCTTCTGAGAGTTTGTCGAAGAACATGTCTTTAGTGTTTGTATCTGAGTCGTCCGTGGGTGCATAGATGCCAATTATTTTTATGTCTCTCCCCTTTGTTGTAAGGTCTACTGTTATAATTCTTTCGTCTATCGGGTTCCAGTTGGTAATACATTTTTCCATGTTTTTTCTTATCACGACCGCTACTGCAGCTTTGGCTCTTTTTGATTTTTCTACTCCGCTCCAGAAGTATATATAATCGTCTTTGTAGTGGTTCCCCTGTCCTTTCTTTTTTGTTTCGCTGAGTACTGCGATGTTAATTCGGTATGTACTGAGTTCCTTAAATACTTGGTCTTCTTTTGTATTCAGTCCTTGTATGTTCCAACATCCAAAATTCGTTAGCCTTTTTCTTTGCCTATGTCGTTTTCCGTTGAAGCCATCCGAGTTCCGGGGCTGTTCTTTGGGATTTTTAGCAATATTTCTTTTACGCAGGGCGGGGAGCTAACCTACCGCTGTAACCCTCCTCCTTCATCCGGGCTTGGGATTGGTACTGGCATTTACTGAGCTACTCAATCCACCCAGTATCTACCAGAGGCTTTGTCTTTAATGTATTTATTCCAAGTTCATTCTTGGAGCAATCTCAAGTGACTCACTCTATAAGGAATTGAACTATGACCATACTTTCAGCTGTGATCGCTGTATCATCCGCATATCCGATTTTAACAGTTTTTCTCTCAATTCGAACTCCAGATTTCCTTATAAGATTTCGTTAATAGTATTTCCGAGTATACGATAAGCAAAGTTGAAGGCAGCGTTAGCAACTAGGCAACTAAATGTCTTTTCTAACCTTAATACCATTTCATAGACCCCTAATGTCAAAATTTCAGTTGGGTCGTACTCATATTTTTGTTTTGACTGTTTGTGGAAACGGATTTTAGAAAAATGGAAAAAGTCTTCCAAAATGAAATGGAAAAAAAAGAAAAATGAAAATTGTCCCATATAGTCCTCTTTTGCTCTTTTAACCTCATATCTTATTTATCGATATATTTCATTATATCGAGCCTCGTCTGTATTTTTCACTTGCTTCTTTGTTGAATAAGGTCTAATATTTCATCTGTCATTTAATCGTTTTCCTTTATTCGATCTTTTTCCGGTTTTAAAACTTTGTTAGCTATTGTTACCAGGGCGAAATTCATAATATACAGTTTTTGATTCGTTATTTTTGTTCTTTTTAGTTTTAGCTTTAATTCAGCACAAAGCAGGTTTATTGTTAGCTGCTTTTTTGCGCTTGGATTGTTTTTTGCAAAAGTATGATTGTTGATGTAGTTTATTTGGTTAAACCTTACACATGTCTTCATAGTCTCTTACTGGGGGCTGTTGAACGATGCTAGGAATAACCTTTTACTCTGACGTGCATCTATAGTTCACCCTTGAAAAACACTATCTTTTTCACTCTTTACGTAGAGAAAAGACGTTCAAATGAAAGTAAAATATTGCATTTCATTTCAATGGTTTTTCGCTATCAGCTTAATTGGAAAGTAAATATATTAATTATCAGAATAAATAAATATTGGTTGAAAAAAAAATATGATAATGGACCTAATCTCTGAAACTTATATACTATATAACAAATTTTTGAAACTCACTAGGATATAGATTTATATTTCAGATTGAGTAGGTACTACATTAAATAAATTCCTTATTTGATAACATTTTTGATTCTTTAGCTAATATTAAAAATACATTATAAATTTTGGATAGGTATTTATTTTATTTATTTATTTTTTGTTTCAGTGTCAAATAATATTCGTGCCATGTGGTCATCTTTGCTGTTGCTGTGACTGCTCAGTTCCAATTTCTGATTGTCCGCTTTGTAGAGTTGCGATTGATCGAAAAATTACACTCGTTTTATAGTAAACATCTAACCAAAAGTTCTTCCAGCAAATATTTGATAATTATTAACTAAATTTTAATATTAAACTGCTTTAATCAAAGAAATAAATCATAAAATATTTTCGTATTTATTAATAAAATGAAGAAAATTCAATATAATAAAGTAAAATTATGATAAATTCTGAATAATTTTTTATAAAAGTATTATAGGATTATTATTATCTCCCAATATTATAGATGGGCTATTGTTAAACATCCTGGAAGTCCTTATTATATCTTACCTTGTTGTTGCACAAAATAATGAGGGCGTTTCAAAGAATCCCCTGATACTGTTTGTATTTTTAGGGATAATTTAACAACCAATATTATAGGCCTAGTGTAACTGGGACCTTGTAACCAATGTCTTGAATAGGAATAAGAATCAGTATGCTTTATCTGTCCCACATAAACAAAATTCATCCTCTTACTTATGCATAGAAAAATTACTAGATGTCTGGAGTGTACATAGCAGTATCGGTTGATGCTTTTTATTCAACATTTTTATAATAGTTTAATCAACATTTTTCTATTAACCAGTAATATAAAAAAACTAATCAAAAAAGCAGATAAATTCTTTATGCAAAGGAGGTTGCATCTTAAATGGAACATATAATTTAGACAAACAAAATTAATTACAGTATACCTATGGTAAAATAATTATAATCGTCATTGAAGGTCAAAATATGCGGCAAACGAAAGCTCTCGATTAGCATTAATTTAGATCTATCCTGCAATTTTACCAGTCGGCGTTTCCCGGGTAATTGAAGAGATCCGCTAAGGTCATTTACCTAATATAGAAAGTGTTCAAAAGTTCGGTTGAGTTGAGCCAAATCTATCCCCTAATCTATCAAAGGATAATTGCCAAAAAAATTCTAATAATTAACCGCAATTAATCGCCAAAGAAACAAATATTTACTCATTCTTGTTTTATATAAATCAAAAATTGCAGAATACATAAGGTAATATAAACACAATGTAGTTTTCTAAAGCTTTATCTTTTTATATTTGAAGCAAGTAGCATCTACAGTATAAAAACATGCCAACACTATAAAACAGAAATTTTTTGTTTCATGTTTTACATTTTCGGCTATAATCAGCTTGTACTTTCGATAAACTCAACCGAAAGTTCTTTACTAAGAGTAAGTTGTTGCTCTTTTTTAGAAGATCCTTTTGAATGACACCACTTACAAAAATAGTATTAGATATCGTATTTTTTGCATTTTCCATTTTCTCGTTATTTGTATCTGGAAATATCTGTATTTGGCGATATTTTTTTAAATATTTAACTCTCATGTTATTATTATTAGGTACCGCCACATCAATTGGTTTTGTTTGTTTAGTTAGCTTATTAAATATTATTAGATCTGATCCATTATGTGTCACTGGCTGGTCTGTGAGTACAGTACGCTTCATATATTAAATCATATATGAGGCCCCTAGAAGTCAAGGGTTCTAAGTAACAAAATCAACATTTTGAGAAAACTCAACTCAAAGTCGGAAGATTATTGTAAGAGGGAAATTTAAAATTGCATTATTTTGACCATGTAAGAAGAATAATGAAATATTTGGGTTGCTATTGCCTATAGCAGATATGCCAATATTCGGTTATTGTTTTAGGTATAAAAAAAATTGATGGTGCGCACATGGATCCCTTTACCTCCCATTAATTTTGTGAGAATGAAAATGCTCAATGTGCACAAATATGCATAAGTGGTTTTATTATTATTTAAACAACTATTCTGTATATTATTTTCACATCTTCTTCTTCTTTTTATATAGACATGACTCTGTCTGTTTTTCAATGTACCTCTAGTAAGTTGTCATTTCATCATTTTCGTGGTCTTCTCATTCTATTTCTTACCCAGTTTTTGATGTTCTCCACCTTGCATCTATGTCATATATATGTACTTCTAGCTCTGTCCCATAGTGTCTTACCATCAATTTTTCCAAGTGTTTTCATTTCTGCTGTTTCTAACATCCTTTTTGTCCACTCTGTGTCAGGTCTTATTTCTGCCACGTATGTCATTATTGGTCTGATGACTGTTTTGTAAATTCTGCCTTTCGTTTCTTTCCCGATATTTTTATTTCTCCATATTGTTTCATTTAGACTTTTCTGGCCTTTCAGCTCCAATTTACATCTTAGTAAATTCTTACATGACAGTATTAAATCAGAAAATATGATATATTGGCACTTGGAAACTATTTAATTGCTGTCATCTGTGTTATAAACGTTGTTACCAAAGTGATTATCATCATTTTCATTGCCTATAAAAGTAACTGTAGCTAAAGGCTTTCCAGTCTTTGTTTCGTGAGGTAGGCTTAGGTAAAATTCACTGTATATCGGTGGTAAGAATTGCAAGAGTTTCATGAGATCTTCATATTTTTTGTATTTAAGCTTGGGCTTCTTAATTACCGGTTGAAACATGGGCAGCTGATAAGGAATTATACCTGCTCGTTGTTTCTTCATGTGCAATTTTTCGTAAGGCATACTCTGCTGATGTTGTCTTATAAAAAGAGTGTCTGGGTTTGTCTTTTCATAAGGCAAAATCTGCATTCCTCGTATCCCTGGCACATGTTTCCGGAAGTACTGATTTAGTAATTGAAGATCTATAAGTCTGCATCCATTAACTTAGTCACATTAAATTTTCTACTTCCTGATGCAGCCCGATTTATCCAGTCTTCTGGTACATAGATATGACGTTGGTTCTTCTTCTTTTTAATTTCTATGATTGTAAAATCTTGATCACATTGATTGTAAGAATGTCCAGCGACTAAAAAGTGGTGATCAACAGTTTCAATTTGAGTATTCTTAACAATATATAGCCAAAAATTTGACAATTAGGTGACTTTTGTTTTGCCCTCCACAGTTGTCACTGAACGCAGACATGTATTACACAGCCGAACGAAGACTCTGAACGAATTTTAACAAACAAGAAGCTATCTCCTGGCAGGCCCTAGCTGCCTGTCCTTCGTGCCACATGTACATGTGGGCGGTTTCACTTGTTAGGTTAGGTGAATATTCAAATTGTACGTCCAGGTTTGGCGTAAATAATAGGCCTTTGAATTTGTCAAATAAGGTGTCGGCATCATCTTTTGCAAATCAAAGTATATCGCAACTTGACTGTCATTCTTTAATAATTTGCACTTTCTTTTACTTTTTAGCTTCTTTAGCTGCCTCTGTTATCCTTAAAGGAAGTTCTTTTTCGACTTCAGCTGTTTGCTTCTCACCAAGCGTGCCGTGGCTAATTTTCATTTGTAACTTGTCACAAGTGGCACAGGTGTCGGTGTGAAGTCTGTGGAAGCTTAGATTGAATTTTGTTTTGAATATAAATCTGTAAAGGCTTTCTTTTTCAAGTTCCACATTTTTTTCTTGTCTACAAAATTTCTCGTAAAGTTTTCACATAATTGGCACATTCAAGCCTGGGTTTAGTTATCTTTGATTTACTCACTCTATGACCAACCAAGTTATAGTTACATGATCTTTCTTCCTCATGACAGGCTCCCACTATTCATAAAATATTGATTCTCTCTATTCGTAAGGAATCTTTTCGTTACAATGAAACGTTGATTATATTCACGTAGCTTTTTTGACCTGTGTCTTAGCCTTTTTTTCTTGTTGTCCTTGTAAAATAACTTATATTGTAACCATTAACAAAAAAAAATATGATCAAAATTGTTCTTAATAACACTTATGTCAACTACAACTAAACTGTGATGGTTTGTGGATTCGTGGTAAAGGGATCTAAGTGCTTTTGGGCCCCTAGCGTTCCAAGTTTGCACTTATCAATACCACGCTAGATGGCTGCACCTATCAAAACAATCACTTGGATCTATTCACCACCAAATAGATTAGTATTTTCACAACTCATTCATGCACCTAACTCATTTTTTTCAAAAATGTTACTTAGACCCCCTGGTCCTCTAAGGTCCTCATATAATGATATCAGATATAAATATCACGTATTGATAATATCGGAGGTGATTGGTTTAAAGAAGTTCCAACGTAAACTCCTACTTGAGTTACTGGTCTGGAGACGTATTCTGACATGGGAGTTTGCGATGTCATGAAATGAATCTGCCTAAATTTTAAACTATAAAATTAGCAGCAATCATGTAATTTAATATTAATTTAAAAAGGGTTTTCACCCATGTTTTTAGTAGCTTTAAACATGTATTTCTTTGTATCAGATCTGAAGATAAGGCATTTATTCCGATTATATGTATGTATATATATATATATATATATATATATATATATATATATATATATATATATATATATATATATGTGGAAATATCTATCTATTGCTACTGAGTCCATCAAATGTTGATTAAAGATATCTGGACAACTTCAGAAGATAAATTTTAATCGTTTATATTTTAACAAAGGTATATGCATTATATAAATTTTTTAGATTAGGGACGATGGTCATTTTTAGTTGTCTTGTAAGTTTGGGGGTTAGTTTTTTGGAAAATTGGAGAATGCGTATAAATTGATCTGTTTATTACATATTTTGATTGGTTTAAGAAATATCTTGATATTGGGTGACGATTATATTTATTATAGCCATAAATATAGTATGACATATATTGTAATATGAAAATACGGCCCTTTATGCATTTCCACGTTGTAGTTACAATCAAACTGTTCAATTTCATATTAACTATATATAATAAATATACTTGTTAATATACATCAAGAATTGATATTGGATAATAATTATCAAATATTTGCAAGGTTGTCTCTTTTGGTACTAATAATGTATAGGATGTACAAAATGTTTAATACAAAAATAAAATTATTTATATAAAACGCACGGAATAACACACTATGGCTCAGCGTGATAAAAATAGCTAGAGTGCGAAGAGCACTACAACTATAATAAGATCTGCAACAAAATAGTGAACCACCGAATTATTGTACGATTTAGCTTTAACGACAGAAAACCGACAATCAGTCTCTATTTGATGGTGAGAGGTTCAGAATGATAATTTGTGGAAAATCAAACGAAAATGCAATAATTACGCAAAATGATGTGTAATTTGAAATATTGATTTC